TTCATCTCTAACTGATCTTTATACTGGTTACTGATCCCCTTATCATGATAACCTCTGTCGCTTTAAGGTTTCTGTATTAGTTACTCTGGAGTGGGGACATCAAACGCTTTCATGTTTTGGGTTTTCTACCTATTCCTGTATCTCCTGTATGTGCTCTCCCCTTGTCATGTGATTGGAGTCCAACAACATTGCTGCATTTGCCCTAGCTCTAAAGTCCGCCTATGAGGGAAAATATACGATTTTTGGTCTTCTGAGCCTGGCTGACCTCGCTCAGAATGATGCTGTCTAGTTCCATCCATTTACCTGCAAATGATAAGATTTCATTCTTCTTCATGGCTGAGTAAAATTTCATTGTGTACAAGTACCATATTTTCTTGATGCATTCATCAGTAGTGGGGCATCTTGGCTGTTTCCATAACTTGGCTATTGTGAATAGCGCTGCAATGAACATGGGTGTGCAGGTGCCTCTGGAGTAACCTGTGTTGCATTCCTTTGGGTATATCACCAGGAGTGGGATTGCTGGATCATATGGCAGATCTATGTTTAGATTTTTAAGAAGTCTCCAAATATTTTTCCAGAGTGGTTGCACCAGCTTGCATTCCCACCAGCAGTGTACGAGGATTCCTTTTTCCCCACATCCTTGCCAACACCTGTTGTTGGTGGTGTTTCTAATGATGGCTATTCTAACAGGAGTGAGGTAGAATCTTAGTGTGGTTTTGATTTTCATTTCCTCTATGGCTAGAGATGCACCCACCCAATTTCTATACTTTCACAGTTTTGCTTATTTCAGTCTTGAAGTCTAGTGCCAAAGAGGAAAGGATTATTGAAAACTCCTCCCCATACAAGCATATATATTTTCATATATATTCCTTTTTACTTAAGTATTTTATAGAATCATAAATATTTATGTTTTTATATTCATATAAGTACATGTAAGTATGTATATGGAACATACATAGGTTTGTACATTAGGGTTTTCTAACAGCTTCATCATGTAATCCAGAAGAGGTAAATATTTTTTGCCTTCTTGACCTGGCTAAAAGTTTACCATTCTTGGTCGGCGTCAATTGCTGCTCTATGTTTGTTTCTGTCCCTGTGGTCCATGCAAAGTTGTCAGAAAAAGGTTTTTTTTACATGAATTCTAAATGATTCCTGTTCTATGATTGTTGCCTAAATCAGAAACCTTCTTTACAGTTGAGAGTTTCAGTAATAATTTCTTAGGTTTATCACCTCCCTAAGGTTAGTTTCTGCTGAATGTTGAATATTTAAACATAGGCTCATAAAATGGAGATGTACTAAAAATAAGGGTGGAGGGAAAAGGAAGCAGTTCAAAGATGGGAGAAGGATGACTCTTGCTGTTGCCCAAGGCACTTACGTATTTAACCAACTCAGAAGCCTCATCTCCTCACCATCTGGTACCAGCTCTGTGAATAATTACTGCCACTATTCTGTGCAAACCATTGTGCAAAAGCACATACTGGAGACAGTCTATGGGCTGAGAGAACAGTTTAAATGATGCAGTAATAAAAGAGGAACAGAGCACTTTCTGAGAATTCAAAGTTATCTGGGGCAAGGAGAGTCAAGATATTGTCAACGAATATTTTATCACCTTGCTTTTCAGTCCTAATTTGCCTATACCATGGCAATGATGTTACATGAGTAGGTGGCAGTAGAGAAGAGATTGTTTTGATGTAAGACTCATACACTTGTTTCATAAAGAGCATACATCCAACCACTGAACTTTAAACATGGAACCAAGATGGTGACCTGCCTGTGATTGTTTCTCATGAGTTAAAAACTCACCTGTGCTGACCTTTAACCTACAAAGCAAGACTAGCATAACTTTGACACAAACCAGCCGATCGTAGCCTTCTAACCCACATTTGCCATCACTTGGAGCTCCAGAGCATTTTTTTAAGTGAAAAAGATACATTTTTCTGTTGTACTGAGTGGAAGAAACTTTGCTTTTGCAGAATAAATTTAAAACAAAGAGCAGATTGATGGATGAATTAGTCTTTACAGGCTATTTTACTATCACCTGATCTGTCCAAGTCTTTAGCTTTCTCTTTAGAAGGTGAGAACATCAATGTCAGTTTATTGTGACCAGCAGCCCTCCATTTATATGACCACATTCTCTCACAACTTCCTGAGCTTCCTAATCTACTTAAGAGGAAGGGGTTTTCCAAACCAATAATTTAAAAATGTAAACCTTTTATAAGGTGCTATCAAATGGGTAATATGTGGGTAAGAGGGTCTTCAAATAACCAAACCAATAGGTATGTTAGTTTACCATCCATTCATGTAGCCAGTCAGCTAGTATTGATTAAGCCTCAGTGCACAGTTTGAGGTACTGTGGAAGATATAAACATACTCCATGGTGTGTGCCTTCTGTTTTTGTGTCATCTAGTTGGTAGAAAAGTACAGTCATGTCTCACTTAAAATCACAAATGACAGAGATACATTTAGAGAGATGTGTCAGCAAAACATTTCTTCATTGTGCAAATATTATAGAGTGTCCTTTCTCAGACAAAGGCAGCTCTGGTGCCACTAGGCAGTATAATCTTATGGAACAGCCTTTACATATGTGGTCTGTTGTTGACCAAATATTGTTATGTGGCTCATGACTACAAAACAGAAAAATAAAAAGTTAGAACCACAATGTGAAGCTTCCAGAGCACACACACTAAATATGGTCTCATACCAGACTTACTGAATCAGAATCTCTGAGATGGATCTCAGGTGTTTCTGAAGCCCAGCAAAGCCCAGTGGTTTGTACACCACTGGAAGCATCAGTAAAGATTGGGGATGAATGGAAAATGTGAGAAATCCAACATGACCTACACTGGGAGGGGCAAAGGGAGGAGGTAAAAGAAAACTTCCTCAAAGAAATATGTTTCTCCACACTACATTCTAGAGTTCAAATCCTATCTTTAATGCATTAAGAAACTTTTATATTCAATGCAAAATTAGGTAAGAGATGTTTTCCACTTAGAATAGACACAGAAATGGAGTTTTTATGTAATTTGTTTACCAAATATATGACTTGGAGTATAGGAATATGATTTTTCTACCAATTTTTTGTTGAGCTTGGAAATTAATGAGAATTTCTTCATTAAAGGTTTGGGAGGATGAACATGCACTTGAATAGATAACTATTCTACACACCAAATCTAATTCTTTTCTCCTGTATCTACAAGTGAGAATGGTAAAGAAATTAGATTAAAATCATCAAGTACACGTGACATTTTATGAGCAAAGATTTCCAAATTTTATAACAATTCTCAAACATGCAAATGAAAACCCAACTTCTAGTTTAAACAGAAATGTCAGCAGAGAAGAGATCATCAGAAGAATGATACCTTCGAAAGAATGTTTTCAAATGGAGTTACATATCCTGGAGGGATAGAAGAAAGAAAAAGGCAGAGATAGAGTAACTTTAAATATGCAAAAGTTGCATTCTATGACCTGTGCTTTTCATTCATAGGAAATAAGGCTGACTAAAGAGAGAAGAAATTCAGCTAAAGAGAGGGGAAAAATGAACTTTGTAGAAATATTTGAACAAAATTATTACAATCTAAATTGTTGCATTGGCCTCAAGAGACCCAACACTGAATGACAGTGCTATGGTACATGCTAATAATCTTCTCTTTGGGAAGAAAAAAAAGCTTGATTACAGCACTTGATGTAATCATGTGCTGATTTCAGGCTATCAACATGATGTCAGTGAATATGGAGTTGGGAAGAGATGCCCAATGGTACACCATTGTGTAGTGTTTCCCTTATGCATACAATCAGCATAAATGACATCAGGACCATGGGTAATAGTAAAATATAATAAAACAGTTAGTAAGGATTGAGTTTTGTGTGTTTATTACCTTCTTAGAAGTATAATTTACTTAAGTTTATGTTTATATAATTTAAGGTTAAATAATGCATCTGTTCAACAGCTGGCACTCAAAATTCCTGAATTTTTAGCAACTGGTTCTCACCAGCCATTATGAGTCCATAATGTTATAGCACAACACTGGTGAATCTAACCATTGTCTCAGATGGAAAGAGCCACAGAAACTTAAATTCTCAAAGCAACTTTGCTAAGTTACTCTTAAATAGTCAACAGGTAACATGAGAACCAATTAAGGAGAACTTTTGCTGAAAAGTTCTTTCAGAAACAATGTATGCTGTTGGTCAGTGATTCTTAACAAGAGCTCCCCGGAGGACATTTGCAATAACTAGAGACATTTACGATTGTCACAACTGGGGCATCCAGCAGGAAGAGACCAGGGATTCTGCTAAACCTCCTGCAATGCACAGGACAGACTCCTGTCCAACCAAAATGCTGAATAGCACAGAGGCTGAGAAGCCCTGTTCTTGAGTCTTCTGTATAAAGTGAAATGTAATAAATGTCTTTATTACTAAGTACTAATGTCTCCTAAAATATTTTCCTCTATCAGATAACAAGAATTTTTTAAGTCACTGTGTCTCTCCTTTGTCATTCTTTAGTAGTAATTACATTAATCATTGTGCTTGCTCCCTCTTAGGACCCTAATTTTCTGGGTTTTCAATCTTAACTTTATACATAAGTCTTTTATTAGTAAGACTAATCATTCTTAGAAATAGAAATGGAACAAATGGTTGGATGTTTGGATGGATGGTTGTCTGGATAGACGGATGTTTGAATGGATGGTTGAATGGATGGATGGTTGGATGGATGGATGGTTGGATGGATGGATGGTTGGATGGATGGATGGTTGGATGGATGGATAGATGGGTGGGTGGATGGATATTTGAATGGATGGATGGGTGAATGGATGGATGGATATTTGGATGGATGGATGGATGGATGGATGGATGATGAGGAAAATGTAAAAAAATTGAGAAAAAGAAGAAAGGAGGAAATTTTGCTTTAGACATGCAAAACATTGAAAAGAACTGAGTAGATACCAGTACAACATTTAAAAGCTTCCCAGGAAACATATATTAATTAGTATTTTTACTTTCAGAGGAAAAATGATCCCTATGCTCTTGCATCCCTGGTGTCCTTTGAAGTTAAAAAGATGCCTTATAAGGATCAGCCAGCAAAACTCCCAGAAGGAAGCATAGCTGTGAGTATCTTTGAAATACATCAGCACAAATAATATAACTGAGATAGTGTTTAAATCATTGTCCAGCTTGTGCGTGGTATAAATGTTTACTTTGATCAGAGAAAAGTTTCCTCTTCTCACATCACTCTTTTCTTCTTTCAGCCTGAAAATTTTCCCATTGCCTTTAGGTTTGTTTTTTAACCTTTCAACATAAGTTTCTATTTAAAAAATTGTGGGAGGACTTACACTATTCAATATTTTTTAATCAAGTCATTTTGTTTCTGCAAAATCTAAGTAGCAAGGATCATTATAATAAAATCTTACTGATTCCCTAATTCTGACGATAGCATTGTACATCAGGTATAGGGGAAGAAACTCTTCCTGGGGACCAGTTGTTCATAGACCAGCTGCATTACTTTAGAGAGCCACTGTCCCTTTATATACAAAGATCCACAATTCTGAGTTGGGGTAGAAAGAGGACACTATGAGCTTCAGTTGAATGAAACGACATTTTTTTTAATTGAGGCGCATAAGCATCATTGACACCCAAATATGTGTCAGAGAACTTCTGCCATCCTCAGCAGTGTGGCAAGACCATAAAGAGGAAAGGAAGGCATGGGTGAGAGGGCATCAGCAGGCACCATTACTAAATTCAGCCTTTCTAATTATTGTGAAGATGATCAGAAACATCTGGAAAACTATTAAAATTTCAACCTTCATCTCTTGATCACTAGTGGATATTTTTACAACCTCCAACTTGAAATCTTGGTCTCTAGGTCTTTGTGGTTCAAAGTATGACTTGGAAGCTGTGTTTGGTGACTCATGTCTATAATCTTAGCTACTCAAGAGGCAGAGGCCAGACAGGAAGACTGTAGTTGGAAGCCAGCTCAGTAAAAAAAAGTTAACAAGACTCCATCTCAACAAACAAGCCAGGTGTGGTAGCACACATTTGTAATTCCAGATCCTCAGAAGGTATACAGAGGATCACAGTCTGAGACTGGCCCAGGCAAAAAAACTCTAGACTCTATCTGAAAAATAACTAAATTGTAAAGGGCTGGGAGTATGACTTAGCTGGTAGAGTACTTGCTTAGAAAGTACTTGCCTAGAAAACATCCAGCACTAAATTCAAACTCCAGTGCACGCCTCGTCTATTGTGTGTCAGTAGACGAGGATCTTAGAAATCCAAAAAAAAATAGTCTATCGCTTGACCTGCTGAGTCTCATCCTGCACTTTATCAATCACCAGGGCATCCAGTCGTCTTTAGATGGTGTACAAGTCCGTCCTATTGTGATCTTCAGCCTGGGTCTTCAGAACCTCATTGTAATAGTTCATCTTCGTAGCCTCACCTACCTTTAGTAATTTAAATGAATCCATTCGTCAATGAGTCTCACTCATACACGTTTAAAAATATGTAAAATAACGCTGTGGAGCTTTCTTAAACAAAAATGTCTCTTTTCAAAATAAGGTATTGTCCTTCTCCCTTGTCTAGGGGTTGGTACCAGTGGGAGGGGAGAGGATATAAAGATGAAGGAGGCTGAATGTGGTGGAACTATTTTGTATACATGTATGAAAATGGGAAAATGAGACATGTTGAAACTATTCCAGGAATGGGGTGAGGGGAGATAAAGGAGAATGACGGAGGGGGTGAATTCAACTATGATATATATTATAAGAACTTTTGTAAATGTCACAATGTACCCCCAGCACACAGCAATATAATAATAAAAAATAAAGTAAAAAAATAGATAAAATAGATGCATGCTAAGACCTCACCTCATACATATGGACTGAGTAGGTCTAGGCTGGGGCCCTGATGCTGGGCTTTAAAATCCAGACAAGTGTAGATTCTGCAGTGAAACCAGGGCTGAAAACTTCAGCGCAGTCAAGTCACTAAGAGGAAAATCTAAGGCTTTCAAGGCAGAGCCACTGAACCTTCATTCTGGCTCCAACTAGGAAAGCTTGAAGAAGTCACTCTGCTTCTCTGAGGCTGTTAACTATGTCCAGCTGAAGCAATAGTGAAGCTGATAGATAGCTTTACCCTAGCATTGTATCTGGATCAAGGAAAGTCTCAAGTCTCAATATTAGTAACCTTCCCCAAATGTCTTATCGTCTCTAAATCCAGTAAGACCACATTGGAAATGACAATAAAGATTCGCACAAAGTATTTTAAAGCCAGACCAGCCACATCTTTCTTCATTTATATCATCTCTCTTTCTCTCACAAAATGTCTGCTGTAGCTTGGATTTATGTTCAATCCAGAAAACAAGATGCTTTGGGCTTTTAATACAGAGTGTTCATCCAAAGAGGTTCAAAGGCCTGTCTCTGTAAAGAAAGATAAATCCAGGCTCTTTTGTGTTTTCTGAGCACGTGTTTCATAACAGAAACACATGTTACAGTCCACCTCATCAACAGCATTGCATCTTTCTGTGCTGGCCACAGGTGACAGCCTGCTGTTCTCAACTCATCTCAAAAGATTCACGAAATGATCAAATGCATGCTTCCTCCACCAGTGCCACCCGTTACCATATTGCCAAAAATAAGACCTATTAGCTGATATGGATGATTTACCACACCGTTTGGTAAAGGTTATTGGAAAAACTCTAAGGAATGGAAGCGTTTTCAAGTCTCCCTAAATCTGACTGACTGTAGAAGATCTCGCCAGTACAAAGTTAGCTGTGCATTATAGGGAAACAGTCTTTCTGCGGCTTTTTTTTCTTTTTTTGAGAGAGAGAACTCTGGTTAGAGCAGCAAACACAGTTTATAGTAAGTTCTCAAAGGTGTTACCATTCTTCTCTTGAACAGAGCCCAGCAGCAGAGAATTGCTGTAAGGTGGTACAGTCATTTGGAACAGGTTGTTTGAGAATCAGCAAAGCTCCATTTGGCCTCTAGGGAAAGACTTTGCAATGAAACTAAATAATATGTAGTTGTTTTGCTAGACTTCTGTGTGGGATGGTTGGTTTGTTTGTACTTCCTTTTCAACATGGTCATAATTCAGCCACTTCTTAAGACCTGTATAAGCTTTACATATGGAAGAAAATAGCATTCTTCATTGGCTACTTGCATAGCATCTGTGTTTATAACATATGAACTCTTCTTGCAACGTCACCCTGGTCCTGTTCAGAGGCGAGGCAAAGGTTCTATGATTCAGAGGATCCTTATGACACAGAAGGAAAAAGATTATGCAATTATTTTTCCACTCTTTTGACTCACCACTAAACCTTGACATTTGTGTGTCATGCAACTGACACCCAAATCTACAATTTACATCTGGAAGAGAGTATTATTGTCTAATATAACTCTAAAGGTGATTATTTATAAAACACTTCATGAAACCCCTTATTTAAAAACTCACACATAATCTGCAAATCCAGTGGATTTGTAAATTTTTGCAAAAACCTCAGCACCTGAAAATGGAATTCACATTCTAAACAATTGTTCAGAGTACAGAGTACAAATTCACGATGGAAACCACTTGTCTCCTAGGAGGTATGGATGTTAAATCTGTGCTTGGCTAGTCCATTTTGTGTTATTATTTTGTTCTAACTGGTACTGAAGGTAGGGTGTCTTGGTACATTTACTTAAAACATTCTTCTGTCCCCACTGTAGTGTGTTTAGACAAGATTTTGTGATACATAAATACAGATGTCAACATTAATTACAGTTGCAAATACAAGGAAGTTTTTCCTTCTATCTTGGTGTTTTCTGTCAAAATATACAAAAACATATCATAAATGTCAATAATAAAATGTAGGCACATTAAAGTTTACTTATGGCCCTTCAGTCATAATAAAGAACAACAAGATTTACAACATGATAAAGGTAAGATTAAATGTTCCCTACTTAAGGTCACTTAAGGAAATCCCAAACCATTTATAATTTATGGGTTCCACTTCCTCAAATTGCAGATAATGGTAATAAGTGAGTTGTTAATATTTTATGCTATTTCTTTAAATAGCTACAAGTTCCTGGTAAACAAAAAGTGGATTGAAACAGATTGTTGATTAGTTGGCAAGCAAATTGGATTTTTCCCCTAAGTTTCACTTGACATTAACCTTTTTAAATTTTATTTACTTATTTATTGACAGTACTGAGGTTTGAACTCAGGGTCTTACACTTGCTAGTCAGGTGCTCTGCCACTTGAACCATACCCCCCAGCCCTTTTTTGTGTTAGTTACTTTTTTGCATAGGTTCTTATGGTTTTGCCTGAGGCCTGCATAGGGCCTGTGAGCCTCCTAAGTCTGCCTCTCATGTAGAAGTGTGCCACCATGCCTGGCTTATTTGTTGAGATAGTCTCACTGAATTTTTGCCTGGGTTGGCCTTGAACCATGATCCCCCTGATCACGAGTTTCTGTGATTATAGGTGAGAGCCTCTGAGTTGGCCTTGGCCTTGGCCTTTTTCTTGTCTTTCTTTTTTATTTTTTTCTGAAATATCAAATCATAAGCCCATTGTCTCAAAGTAAACCTGTACTCCTAAGTACACTCTGTCTTCTGCCTGGGGGTTCCTTCTTGGTGAAAGAATCTTGCAACAAAGGATGTGTTGTATAAATATTTCTTCAGAACTGGAGGTGTGGCTCAAGTGATAGAGTACCTGCTTTGCAAGCACAAAGTCCTGAGTTCAAACTCCAGTCCTACTAAAAAAAAGTATTTCTTCAATAAGCACAGTTTTGTTATTTTTGTAGTACATTTCACTTTAACCCTTAAAATTTTAACAAGTGATACAGGCTGCCAGTGTGAAGTGCACACTGGATTTTGGAGACAATTTTAAATATATATGTGTAAAAGATACTTTAGGCTGGGTATGGTGGCTCAAGTCTGTTATCCTAGATTTTTGGGAGGTGGAGCTCAAGAGGATCATGATTCAAGGTCAACCCAGGCAAAAAGTTCTCAACCAATGGCCAGGTATAGTGACACACACCTGTCTCTAAGCTATGTAGGGAAGCACAAATAGGAAGATTGCAGATTAGGCTGGCCCAGGTATAAAGTGAGACCCTGTCTCAAAAATAAGCCATGCACAAAGGGCTAATGCAGTAGCTCAAGTGGTACACCACCTGCCTAGTAAGTGTGAGGCCCTGAGTTCAACTCCAAGTACCACTAAAAAAAAACTATTTTAAAATTTTTTATCTAATTTACATGTGGAAACAATAATATCATTATCATCACTGATGAGTACATTAATGTCATAGTGACTAAATTCATGATGGTATCTAGTAATGATATCATTAATAGATGACAGTTGATCATAGGGTGAAATATGTTATTAAAATGCATGTCCCTTTCTTTTCACTCTTTTTAATATGGCTACTAGAACATTTGACTTTACACATGTGACTCATATTGTATTGTCACTGAATAGCACTGATCAAGAGCAAAGTTATAGCTGGTGGTAAGATTCATGGAGCTTCAGAAAACATAGAGTCTTTAAATAAATATTTGAAACAAATGAGCAATTCCTTGATAAGTCAATGCTCAGACATTAGAAACTCTAAAACTCATGGCCCATTTTCTCATCACTTATTACCCAGTGGATACTTTGATTGAATTCTTGTGGGCTTCTCAAGACAAGTTATAAGACACATGTAAATATTAGAATTAACAAAGTTTGGTATTTGTCAACATTGCACTTCTTTCTCAACCTCCCTGCAAACTAACCTGCACCTTATTTACTCATATTTAAATAAGTGGTGGTCCTGGCCAAATGATGGATCAAGTCCTTTCTTTTGAAGTTCACCTGCAGCTTAAGTCTCCAGTTTATCTAAACAGAGCACAGAGTGTCAGGAAAAGCTATGGTTTTCTGGTTTCCACCTGCAGAGGAAATGCCCCACTGCCAGTGGCAGATCTGTAGTCCTGCATATGTCACATGACTCCCTAGTCACTTGTTTCCAGAAGGACCTCCCTTTCCAAGACAACCAATGATGTGTTACATTCAGCTTTTTCTGGCAGCCTGTCACTCAGATGAAATGCTTTGTGTCAGTATGGTTGGTTTCCTGTATTTTTACTGACTTTGGTGTAGTGACTTTTTGAATATGCAATAGGAAGCCTAGATTAGTTTAGGAAGACACCATGGCAAAGGAAGGCCTCTGCAGTCACACTCACTTTAGACTGAGATTGGGCAGACTGGATGCCACATGGAGATTCTAAAGGCAGAGGGCAAGGAATGGAGAACACAGAGGAGAGACTCTCCAGTTTGTTTTTGTGACTCTGTGCATCCTCCCCCTAGTGAATTGCATGGGATGACTGGCAAGAAATGCATATGGTGTACATAGTCCTTGCACTTTAAAGAACTCAAAGAAAGGATATGAAATGATATTGTTTAAATGAACCTAATGTTACTGGAAGCAGACTGGCAACAGTTTCAACACTGGATAGTGATCATCTTCTCACAGCTATTTTAGGCCCTGCTGTTATAATCTGTGAAAGAGAATGTAAACAACAAGCCAGTAGGTTTATAACTATCCCTATAAATTTGTTCTCTGATTCAGGGGACCCCATGATGCATATCTGGTCAATTTGATTCTTTATTTTTACTTTTTCATCATTGTTGCAAAAGCCTTCAAATATCTTAAACTGTAACAAGAAAACATAGGGAAAATACTTAAAGATAGCATAGGCAGTTACTTTCTAAATAGGACTCCAGTGGCTAAGGATATAAGAGCAAGAATTGACAAATGGGATTGCATCAAATTTAGAAGCATCAACAGGAACGATTTCCAGAATCAAGAGACAATCCACAGAATAGGAGAAAATCTTTACAGACTATTCATCTGACAGAGGATTAATATCCAGAATATATAAAAAGCTCAAAAAATTAAACACCAAACACCATTATCTCTTTGTAAGTAACCTTCCCAGCTTGTTTTTACAGACAGACCAGTTTTAGAGACAACACAGCAAAACCTGTGATGGCCAAGTGAAGAAGACGCACAATCCACTCTCACCATTCCAGTTTCTTTGTACTAAACTAATGATTTGAGGAATCAATCCTCCTTATTTCAACTCCTTTGGATTTGTTTTTAACTTACAAAAGTAGGGTTACTTCCTAAATTTAACATGAAGTAGGAAAGAAGTACAGAAGAGTAAAGATTCAGAGGCATCTGTGCCTTGTCTTACCATGAATTACCTATTAACAAACTTCAGTGAGCTCTGACACAGGCACAAAATATTAACTAAAGCTATGTTATTTCCTCTGATGACTTAGAGCCTATGAAAAAGAAACTTTCCTAAGAAACCTCAGAATTTTCTCCCGGTCCAGATTTCTCTCTCCTGGGTCATTTTAACTGACCTACATTTAGATGATCGGTACTATTCCATTCCAAAATTCTGAAATTCTCATGACCAAAACTGTGTCAGCCTGCTGCCGGTGAAGTTATCTTCATTTTGAAACATTTCATGCCCCTTCTGGTGAGTATTCAGACAAGGTGAGACCAGGCAAACTTCTTAAAGGCAAAAATAAAAGACATGACATAAGATATTTGGGGGCATAAGGATTGACAACAAGGGTAATGCATTCTAAAGTTGAACAGATAGTAGCAGGGCAGATGACTTCAGAATGATTTTTTTCTGTAGGGTTGCAGTGGCCTTTGTGCAAGGTTGTGATCCTGACAGAGTCTTTTTTGTAGCTGCTATCAGGTAACATGCTTGAGAACCCTGCCTTCATATCCTCCTGGCTTTATTTTCTATTTTTATTGTTGTTAGGGTTGACACAAGCAGCTTCAATCTTATTCTGCCAACATTCACACGAATTACTTTCAAGAAATGCACTAGCTAGCCTCAAGTTCTGAGCACTTCTTCATGGATAGAACATATAATCTAAGGATAGAGAGACATTAATTAGTGTTGTGCATCACTTAGTTTCCCTGGGACTCAATTTTATCATCTGTAAAATGAGATTAGATGATTTCTAACCTTCTTGCACATCCAATGGTTCATGGTTGTTCTCAGGCTCAATTCTCAATGAGGTTTAGCTGAGTGATATGAAGAAACTCAATGTTCATTAGAGTATACTTTTGGCTGTTGTCATCATAAATATCCAGCCCAATTTAAGGTGCTTCCTTTCCCCAAAAGCCACATGTTGTCTCTCATATGTGGAATATAGACCTAATACAAGTGAAGCAAAATTATGAAACTCTGGTCACACTAAGGGGAGGTCACACAAGGGAGGGGTAGGGAAACTAAGAATTTGAATATGGTTTATATACTCTCATACAAGGATAAATACAGAAATCTTAAACTGACTGAAACTGCCATAAAAAAGGGACTAAGGTAGAATGAAGAAAATTAAAGAAGATAAACCAATATCATAAGGAAACTCCCTGTATAGCTACCTTTATCTCAAGCAAGCTAAAATGTCATGGGTTTTTTGTTTTATCTTTTCTCTTTTATCTTCTACAAAATCAAAGGAGGGCAGAACAAGTCCTGCCTGGGGAGCAGGGCTAGCACCAGTGGAAGGGGCGAGGTGATAGGGTAGGAGGGTGAATACAGTGCAAAAAATGTGAACACATGTATGTAAATGCAAAAATGATACCTATTGAAACTACCCCAGGAATGAGGGGGATAAAGAAGAATGGTGGAGGGGGTGAATTCAAGCATGATATATTTTATACATTGTAAGAACCTGTGTAAATGCCACAGTGTACTCCCACCCAGCACAACAATAAAGGAAAACAAAATAAAAAGGTCCTTCCTTTTGTTTTGGCCCCTGGTCCACCCTAAATTGTATTCTAGGTTTCCTGTGGTTAAAAGCCAGCAACCCACCAAGAATGTATAATTAGATCTTCACCTAACCTGCCAGATGCGGGGATTTGCTTGTTTTTAAGAGCCTACATTCCAACACTGTCCCCTCACAACTCTCCTACAGGATAAATGCAATTATTAGTGGATCCTTTCAGAACCACTGCAATTGCTGCTTTATTTCACTAAAAAGCTTTAAAGTTAGAGCTCATTGCTTTATTTTCATTTCAGATTAAGACGTCAGTTATTTGGGCTACTCCAAATGTTTCCTTCTCGATTCCATTATGGGTCATAATCCTAGCCATACTGCTTGGATTATTGGTTCTGGCCATCTTAACCTTGGCTTTGTGGAAGGTAAGTTGATTTCCTTTTATTGTTCCTTTAGGACTGGAGATGCCTCTGAAGGAATTTAGAAGGCTATTGTTAGGATTTTGAAAGATGATGCTAACAGCATAATTTAGAGATTCTTAAAAGGTCTGAAAGACATAAAGGGAAACTTGTGTCTTGTTTGCTTTGCATACTTAATATGCTTGTGTCAGTAGTATTTAAGAAGACTAAGAGTGTATGATTGTTTTTTATCTCAAGATTTCTGTGTGTGTGTGCTGCTGGAGCACTCACACTTGCTAGGTAACTGCTCTACCACTGAGCTACATCCCCAGCCTCATCTTGATATTTCTTGTAAAAATAAATAAAAAGAATTAGGCTTTGATAGCTAAGGCCTGTGATCTATCCAATATACTTAAAGTGATAATGTTATTATGAAGATATCTCTTTCTGGTTAAACTGACCAAGATCTTAAGCTTTCTATTGACCTAGTCCTTTCATAAATCCTTTGAGAGTTTTCTTTATAAGCACTTCACTGATACAATTAACATAGATCAATTCTATTTTTTTATTTCAACTATTAATTAGGCCAAATAGATCATGCATAAGCTACTTGGACTTGTTTTTAATCTTGCCAAGTAGTTTATCCTTATTAGGAAACCCTAACAAGTTCTTTGAGGTGTTATACTGAGGTTTGTTCTAAAAGTCTGCAATAGGAATAAATGTCTGACACAAAACTTGTACAGCTGCCAAGTTTTACAGAACCTTCCACTCCAAAAAAGAAATAATGTCACAATCACATGACTGTAAGAGTAATTCATCCAATCCCATCTTAGTTCACCACAATTGTTGTTGTTCCCGAAAACCATAGCACATCTTTATTTTGAAACAATAGGCAGTATGCATGATAGAACTATAAACTGAGGAAACCTTGGCTTTGAGTTTAAAAAATAGCTTTTCTAGTCATTATCAGATGTTTTGTGCCATCATGAGCCCATATAGTCTATGACACACATTTAGAAATGACTTTTGCATTGTTCTTTTATTTATGGCAATTTCTAATGAATAGAAGATACAATTATATATGCCAATTAATAGAATATTCCACTAACTCTCCAAAAGAACCCATCTTGAACTTCCAGTACAAGAAATAAGAAGTTCCAAGTTTCTAGAAAAAGATACATCTTCCTTGGCAAAATACTAGCTGAAATTCAGGAGGAGGAAGATTCTAGAATCACCTTTAATAAAAGATGCTGCTTAATTTGTGGAAAGTCACTAAAATGTGTCTGCCTGGTTGTATCATTGAAATAAGTTACAATCACATCTCCCTCTGTATATCGTATATCCCACCAAGCACAGAGGGACAGGCAATAATGTCACTTCTTCTATAATCCATCCCAAGAGCACCTACAGTACACCACAGAAGACAATGTCCCTTTTCTGGCCAGCAGTTAGCATGCTACCAGCTCAGCAAACATGCAGAAAAGCAGAGAAAGAATCCCTGGGACACATTGCTATAATTCTAGGAAAATATCCAAGGTCTGTGAGTGGTTCATAAAATAAAGACATTCTGTCACTGCCAGTATAGAACAGAAGGAAGGGCAAAAATGCTCTGCCCTCCTGTTCACCTTGCTCTGAGCAATGCATTCCTTCAAACGGGTAAACAAGATGCTACTTTCTCCTCTTAATTTTGATAATTGGGCACATTACATTTACAAAGCTCCAATTTCCTCTGCAAATTCTTTAAATGAAGAGTTTCACAAGTTCCCCAGATGACTTGATTTTCATCCCTTTTTCCTTTTCACAGTGTGGATTCTTTGACAGAGCAAGACCTCCCCAGGATGAAATGGCTGACAAGGAGCAGCTGACCAGTGACAAGACCCCTGAGGCATGACAGGAAAAAAATAAAGAGCAAAAATTTAAACACTGGTGCTGTTCAAAGAAAAGAAAGAACATAAGAGCTAAATCATAAAGGCTTTCCTGTACCTGCCAGTGACCTAGGGAATGGAATGATCACCTCATCTACTCCATCTTTTGAGGATGTTGCCATGAAGTCTGGAGAACTCTGGTAGAAGGAGACCCCAACACTGTGGAAACAATCAGACCAGCAGTCATGAAAGATTTCTTTTGCTTTCATCATTCCATATTTGGCAGACATGGGTATAGGAACTTAGGTTGCTCTCCAGGTAAACCCAACCTGAGTTGCAAAGATGAACTGTCTGAATTACTATAGAATTTAGAAGGTGGACTAGGAGGGAACAGTCCAACACTACTGTATCCAGTGGAATTTATGACACCTCCCTATGGAAAAGAAATAATTCCAGTGACGTGATGGCTCAGGGAGACAAGCAATATGTTGTTGGTACATGAAAGTACCTTTTGAAACAACAAGATAATTTTGTGAGGGTAAAATATTATTTATTTATTTTCCATTTCTCTAGGTTGAGATTCTCTGGTTGTCTAGAGGATTTGGAAATTAATATTTGGTTGGCTAGTCTTTGAAACCACTCACTTCATTTCCTCCTAAGATAACCACTTTGTGCAGATAACTTGTTTAATTGAGTATCTTCAGAATTTAGACAGTGTCAAGGAAAACCAAATTGGTATTAGGAATCAATTCTGCTTAATACTTTGCTGCCTTCTGCCTGGAATAAGTTTTATTCCTATCCAGGAACTCACATCTGCTTAATTTAGCTTTACAAAATGTTGCATTTTATATCCTTTTGTATATGTAAAAAGTCTTTCTACTGACTTAGTTAACACAAGAATTACAAGGTACTCATCTCTGTGTGTGTTGTTTAAAAGTAATGGCAAAATTTCTAGAGCCCATATTAAAAAAATCAATTTAGAAATATTGGTAAACATCATTTTTAAAAGCTATAACAAGCAGCACCAGCATTTATCTTGGGATTAAATATCTGCTTTCCCTGCTATACCTCATACTTATATACGACACAAAACGTGTTGAACATAAACAGGATGGAAATATCAAATTACACAGGTGTGAGACAAACCTAGAAAACTGTTTCCTAAGGATTTTATTTAAAATTGCTTATTCCAACTTTATTGCTTATTTTACTGTTAACCTTTATAGTACATAATCTTGGAGAATAATCTTTTATTTAAACTATTTTCCCATCATCTTTAACTTAACCATCAAAAAATTTGTTGTTTAAGACTCTTGTAAATAATCCATAATCATGTATAATATTACCATTTGAAAGTAAAATTGAGCAGCCAAATTCATAGATAGTCTGCACAATTTTGTATCCTTTTTATAATGATGAAAAATTACTATGAAGAAATGCTGAAAAAAACTTTTATGTGCAATATTTTATAGACATATGTATCTGAGGCATGTTTACACTGGCATTAGTTATTTTTTAATTAATATCCTAAATATTAAGTATGATAGAACAAGCTGACCAAAATTCTTAAGTTTACAAAGCATTTGGAAAAATCAGTGTCCCAATTTCAACAATCACACTTTATTTAAAAGATGAGCCAAATTCACAGACAATAAATTTTATGCTGTGCCTTAACCTGGAGAGGAGCCATTTGGCTCCAGCTGCAGAAGCTCCTTAGAAAGCAAACAAAAGGCACATGGATGTACACATCATTGCAGCTCATCTTCTTCCTGCTTGTGAATTAAATCTGTCAGGGTAGCTGTTTCATGTCTGTTGGGAGCTCAATTCTAGCTCTCAGACTGTGCAGCTGATGGCTAATGAGCATTGACCTTGACTCAAAGATTTTGAGGGTCCCATGCCAGCCTCTGGGGATCTTTGGTGGTAGTCACTTAAAGACAACCAATTTTGCATGTAGGAGGCCATCTGTATTATATGATTTGAGGATGCCATATAGCTCTCTTTCCCCCAAAGAATGCCCTAACTCTTGTTGTGCCTGATTTGTGATCAGTAGAAATGAACTCCTCAGGAGTTTTGGTCATCAAAGACCCTGGAGAAAATGGACCCCTTGCCTTGAAGGAAGTCAGAACTCTTAAGGCTAAACATAAGAATGTGGGGATAATTCATAAGACATCTGGTGGAAATTAGAAATGCCAGGTAGAAGATGAACCCAGAACATAGCAAGGCATGAGGGCTTCAAGACAAACCATGTCTTCCCACAATCTCAGCCAATAGAAGTTGCTTCTAGAGGGCACTGAGACCTATGGGTATTTCTGAGGACTGGCACACATATGCACACTGTAGCCCTCTAGCCTCAGAATATGGAAGCAATGGAGAGAGGGAGAAAACTGAAGTCAAGTGAATCCTCCAGATATCAGTTTGCATCAGGTCTACACAGACAACACACTGACAATGCACTGAGAACATAATGCTTACAGCATTGCTGACTTCTTTCATAAGTCACAATGAGCTGGGCTCCTCTTAGAGCTTACCTGTATTTTTCTTCAAAGAATTCCCTTTCTAATTCTTGCAACTGGTTTTTAAGGCATGGGACAATGGACAAATTAAGTTTTATGAATTTGGAGATTTGTACACAGTAAATAAATGATGTACTAGTCACCACTGAACCTCTATGCTTATAACTCAGCTCTTGTTTTATTTAAATACATGTGTAGAGATCTGTGAAGATTTTCATGTACCTATTTACATTGTCACTAATAAAGTTAAAAGTTAAAGACATAATGGCTTATTTATGGTTTATTTCACATATAACATAATGCCCTCCCATATGGCCAAAGACTTCCACAATCATACCTTGATTCTTTATTATAAAAATATGTGACATTGGCAAAAGAACAATGCTGGAGGTATCATGATACCCGACTTCAAACTATATTACAAAGCAGTAACAACAAAAACAGCATGGTACTGGCACAAAAACAGACATGAAGACAATTGGAACAGAATAGAGGACCCAGATATGAAACCACACAACTCTAACCAACTTGTCTTTGACAAAGGAGCTAAAAATATACGATGAAGAAAAGACAGCCTCTTCAACAAAAACTGCTGGGAAAACTGGTTGGCATTCTGCAAAAAACTGAAACTAGATCCATGTATATCATCCTATACCAATATTAACTCAAAATGGTTCAAGGATCTTAATATCAGACCCCAAACTCTAAAGTTGATACAGGAAAGAGTAAGAAATACTCTGGAGTTAGTAGGTATAGGTAAGAACTGTCTCACTGGAACCCCAGCAGCACAGCAACTAAGAGATAGCATAGATAAATGGGACCTCATAAAACTAAAAAGCTTCTGCTCAACAAAAGAAATGGTCTCTAAACTGAAGAGAACACCCACAGAGTGGGAGAAAATATTTGCCAGCTACACATCAGACAAAGGACTGATAACCAGAATATATAGGGAACTTAAAAAACTAAATTCTCCCAAAACTAATGAACCAATAAAGAAATGGGCAAGTGAACTAAACAGAACTTTCTCAAAAGAAGAAATTCAAATGGCCAAAAAACACATGAAAAAATACTCACCATCTCTAGCAATAAAGGAAATGCAAATTAAAACCATGCTAAGATTCCACCTCACCCCTCTTAGAATAGCCATCATTAGCAACACCACCAACAACAGGTGTTGGTGAGGATGCGGGGAAAAAGGAACACTCTTACACTGCTGGTGGGAATGTAAACTAGTACAAGCACTCTGGAAAAAAATGTGGAGGCTACTTAAAAACCTAGACATTGATCTACCATATGATCCAGCAATACCACTCTTGGGGATATAACCAAAGGTCTGTGACACAGGTTACTCCAGAGGCACCTGCACACCCATGTTTATTGCAACACTATTCACAATAGCCAAGTTATGGAAACAGCCAAGATACCCCACTACTGATGAATGGATCAAGAAAATGTGGTATCTATACACAATGGAATTTTATGCAGCCATGAAGAAGAATGAAATGTTATCATTCGCTGGTAAATGGATGGAATTGGAGAACATCATTCTGAATGAGGTTAGCCTGGCCCAAAAGACCAAAAATCGTATGTTCTCCCTCATATGTGGACATTAGATCAAGGGCAAACACAACAAGGGGATTGGACTTTGATCACATGATAAAAGCTTTAGCACACAAGGGAGGGGTGAGGATAAGTAAGATACCTAAAAAACTAGATAGCATTTGTTGCCCTCAACACAGAGAAACTAAAGCAGATACCTTAAAAGCAACTGAGGCCAATAGGAAAAGGAGACCAGGAACTAGACAAAAGGTTAGATCAAAAAGAATTAACCTAGAAGGTAACACCCACGCACAGGAAATCAATGTGAGTCAATGCCCTGTATAGCTATCCTTATCTCAACCAGCAAAAACCCTTGTTCCTTCCTATTATTGCTTATACTCTTTCTTCAACAAAATTAGAGATAAGGGCAAAATAGTTTCTGCTGGGTATTGAGGGGGTAGGGGGGACAGGGAGGGAGTAGGGTGGGTTGTAAGGGAGGGGTTGGGGGGAGGGGGAAGAAATGACTCAAACATTGTATGCACATATGAATAAAAAAAATGTGACATTGGAAGAAATATGAAAGTGCAAAATATGATATTCCCTGGTGGGGTGAAATGGTCAACACTGAGATTGTGGTGATGGTTGCACAACTCCATGAGTACACTAGAAACTATTGCATTGTGTGCTTTAAATAGGTGTGTTTATGCTATGTGAATAATATTTGAATAAACAGGTTAAAATTTTAATTCACCCCTAATATTCCCATCATTATATAACTTAACAATTGTCCACATTTTCTTTTGAATTTTGCACACATGTATACCTTAGCTCCTTCATGAAGCCATCTTTGGCCAACTTAAGATTCCTCCTACCCTCCAGTAGCATTTACTCACTTTTCCATCTGTTTCCATGACTACCTTCCAGCTGTAGTGACTCTCAAGGAAATCAGTAATCATATCTTTCATTTGTGTGCTTCCTACACCTAACAATACCTAGTCTATAGATAATGCCCAAAAATTTCAGGAATAAATTAATAAATATTCATATTTGCATAGTAACTCTCATGGTAACCATGTACTTTTATAGTTCATGTCCACTGCTAAGCACCAGAGAACCCACAAATGTGTGTCCATCATTCTTCCTATAATGTTAATACACTGTTATTACAGGTTGACTA